TAATAATAGCTTCTAAGTTCCACCGATTTTATGGTTCATTAATTTTTTTTTTTTCTGGTTTTGTGGCGTAGGCATAGAAATATGTAACTCGTCTTCCATGTTATTCAACGCTATGTTCCTTCATTGGGAGTATGAATGTATGCCCTTGTCTTATCCGATCATATGAACCACAATCGTGCCAGCATTAACAAGCAATTATCGCGTCTAAGGTTACACTATACATTTTGTGGAGCCCGAACATATGTACCGCAAGGTACATTTAATTGTAATCTTGACCATAAAAACATGATCACAAAATTAAAATTAAAAAAAAAAAAGACACGACGACTGCGGATATGGTGGATTTAGTACCTAATGAATCTTGGCACCCTTCATTTAATCTTTCATTTGCAGATGGCAATCTTGTGCAGCACCTACTCCGAAATTTCGACAACAAAATTTATAGTAGATTGATGTACTCTGCAACTGGACAGGAGAGGATTTCATGTAGATAAAAAATTTCTTAAATTAAATTATTGAACAAAGGAGAAAATTGTTTTGCTGGGAGTACAATGCATTTGGCAAATACAGAATTTCCCATTAATTTATGACTAGGATATGGAAAATCATGGGGGACAAGGAGAATCATAGCTTCCTTTGGCTATGAAACGCAGCATGTGATGCATGCGACTTTCTGCATTACAGTATTAGACTCTGCTGCCCCTTTAGCCCTCTCTTAACCAATTAGCTTCTTCTCACTCTATTGTTTCTGTTTAGTTTTACATTGTCTTCCAAGTGTACAAAAATTAATGTCTTCTTCAATAAACAATGATCTCTCTTTCACGGTAGTAGCCTACAAGTTGCTATAGAATTCAGTGCGCTTGGGATTTTGTTGTTTGTCGTGGCAGCGCTAGATTCTTTGCCTTGGGGTTAGCTTTGTACAAAATCAGGTCCCAATTCGTCGTGTTTCTTATTCTAATATTTTTCCTCTATACTCGGTCAATTGATCTGATGTCTTTGGTTCTAAACTATAAGGCAATCATGAATTGCCAGCCTTGAATGTTCGTAAATTATCTTAAGGACATGAATAAACCAGTGGTTGGGAAGAAGGTGTCGCCTAATGATTGAGGAGACAAGGCAGCATACGGCTTACTTGGCCTGTACCAGTTGTTTACAATTCGAGGATCATAAACAAAAATTAATCATCCCCATACATTTTTCATCTCTTTAACGTAGCATTAAAGAATGATAAACGATTGCAGGTTGCAGGCTAAATATGATACAAGGATTTTCAATTGTAGGGCAGCCCTCAACGCCGTCACATTGTCAATGATTGGAGTTTGGCATTAAATTGATTTCTTATAAATAGATAGAAGAATTATGGACGTCTGAACATATATCGACTTTGGGTTTAGTGTTTTAAGCACTTTTTCTCTGTAAATAAATATGGCGGGCTCATCTGTAATTCATGGAGCGAATGTTCCAGTCAGATCCATTAGCTTGCCATCCAGGTTGCAGCTTATTTCTATTGAAGTAGAGCTGAACGAGCTGAAAACATTCGGACTATTGTCAGGTTCTCCAACAGTTCACAGTAGTGGTGAGACAATTTGTGCAGGTTTCACCAGGCTTGCAAATTTGTATAACAACATTGAGGAAATCATTCAGTCTCCACTCACTCAACAAGCTCTTAAACATCAGCAAAATGTAAAACTGGTAGAGGAGGTACTTAATGATTCGGTTGGATTGCTGGATGCATGTGGTACCGCAAGGGACCTAATTGTGATGATGAAGGATCAAGTACAAGACCTTCGGTCAGCTTTACGCAGGAGGGGTGGAGATTCAAGCATTGGAAGCAATATCATTGCTTACATCAACTTCAGAAAAAAGTTGAAAAAGAACATTGCTAAAAGCCTTAGAGTACTGAAGAGATTGGAATGCAACAATAATGGCCCCTTTCCTTTCTTTGATGTAGATTGCCATCTATTTATGGTGGTAAAAGCACTAAAAGGATCCAATGCCATCACAATTTCTATGTTTCGCTCACTCCTGTCATATCTTTCAGTGCCAGTAATGAAAACCAATGCTGGAGGTTGGTCTTTGATTTCAAAATTGATACCAGTTGCAGTTGAGAGAAGCCAAAAGCTTTTCAATGAGGTGGGGATTGTTGACGTTACCCTGTATACACTTCATGGACAAGTTCGAAAAAATGAAGCCAAGATTGATGCACAAATTGAACTAAGGAGATTAGAGAAACTTTCTGCTAGCATCAACGATCTTGAAGCAGGTTTAGATTGCCTGTTTAGATGCCAAATCAGAAATAGAGTGTCCTTACTTAATATCCTCACACCTTAAAGACACAATATCTTGTACACCTCATTTTTCATGGCATCTACATTTTAAAAGGATTGGTCCATGCTCAAGAACCAAATTTTTGTAAGAGAATTGTATAAGAATCGTATTGAAATTTAAAGGCATGCACTTTATTCTTTTCTTAGTTATGCTCTGCCAAAGATTCAAAATTAGCATCCCAATCTTTTTTTCCTTTTTTTTTTTTCATTTTCAATCTCATTTATTTACTGCAAATGCAAGGTTTGCGAGTTTGATGGCTATTGTCTGGAGGAACACAAGAGCACAAAGGCAGACATTTATTTATTTATTTATTTTGGTAAAAATAGTACAAGGGAGACTTAACCACACTATAAGACAAGAAAATAACCAAAAAATGGGAGCTAATTCACCATAAAGCCTGGAAAATATCCTCAGTATCCGCAACAGCTGTTTCTTCTGGTGAGACTTTTCGGATTGGGCTAGTTGGCCTTGCAGAGTAATATAATTATGTCCGGGAAATCATTAGCTCTCCAGAAACGCAAGAACACTTCTTCACTATCTAAAAGGGAAACTCGTGGAGGAGGCACCGGATGAGTCTGTCACATTTCTGGACACTTGGCAAAGGAAGGGATATAGTGTTGATGATGAAAGAATATGTCCAAACCCTTCAGTCAGCCCTACGCAGAAGGCATGGAGATCTAAGTATTGGAAATGAAGTTGCTGCTTACATCAACTTCAGGAAGAAGTTCAAAAAGGAATTAGCCAAGTGCCTTGGAGCATTGAACCCTTACATGTAGATCATCATCTGTTAATGGTGGTCAAAGTCCTAAGAGAAGCAAGCTCCATTACCATCTCTGTTTTTCCATCTCTTTTGCTCTTCCTGTCAATGCCTTCAATGAAGACGAGGGTTGGAGGATGGTCAAAGATCTCAAAATTGATTCCCACAAGTTTACTATCCTCTGACAAAGAATAGAAGGTAATGAATGAGGTTGGGAGTGTTGATCTTGCTGTTTACTCCATCAATGGACACTAAAAGATTGCCGATGGCATATTTGAAGTGGAAATGGTGCAGAGGTTGTTGAAGACTCTTGATGCCAGCATTGATGGCCTTGAAGCGGGATTAGATTGCATTTTTAAGTGTCTAGTCCAAAATAGGGTCAATTTCCTTTAAAATCATCACTCACCAGTGATGCCAAATTGTTTTATATGTATAAATACAAATATAATTAGTGCTCCTATACTTCATTTTGTGTAATTTGTAATCATGGCTATTAAATGTTAACAGCTGTATATCTGTGTTGTGCATTCATGATTAAACAAGCATTTGAACCAAAAATGGATATTAGATATGATCTCAGAGAATGACTTATTGATCGGACTTGGAAATTTTAAAGGAGTAATTAGTTTTTCCTCTTCAGCGTTCCAACATGCCCGTTGTATATCAGATTTTAACCTTGTAAAGGTTTATAAAAGCAAAAGAAAAAAAAAAAAAGTTAATAAAGACACTGAGCACTGACTTACTGTACAATGGATCACCGAGAATTATGACTGTCAGCTTTTTTTTATTATTTTTTTTGAATCATGTCATGGCCATTTTTTAATTGTGCCTTCTATTGTCATAAACATGACATTGGTGAATGATGAATATCTTTATTAGTATAGTTTCCAAAGACTTGAGTCAAGGAAAAAAATTACAAGAAAACAAAGGCATGTAGCTGAGACAAAACCCCTTATCACTGAGTGAGGGTCCAACTTGCAATGGTTAACACTGTTACAAATTGTCTAATTAAATTTATCTGTAAGTAAGTTTGCATTTTGAAAGCTTAACTAAAAATATCTTGCTTCTCTGCTTAAAATCCTTCCAATTCATATTCTCAATAGTTCTATTATATATTAGCATTCTTTATTTCCTTTCCCGTCAACTCATCAGTCACTCATCATATTACCTCATGGGTGAAAGGGCAGCACCTGTCCCAAACAGCCGCGCCAAGTCACTGAATTCCAGGATATACAGACCTTATTATTGGAACACGTGTTGAGATACAATAATATACGTGTTCTTACCTTACCCAAGTATGCCTTCGGATACCTTAAAAAAATGAAAAATGAAATATGGGAGGCTTTATAAGTAAATAAAATGATGGAGACGAGAGTAGTACAAGCCACTCGTGCACTATATAGTAACAATAGAAGGGGTTGCCAAGGCAATTGTGCAATGATCAAGACCTTGGAATTATATTAACCTATAAATTATACACTTTGCATTTGGTTTTATCTAACAGATCTGGTTCTCAATTCTAGAAAAGTATTGTTCAATACCTTTTGCTGTTCAAGTTTCTTACAAGTGGAGACAAACCAGGCAAGCCACATATTTAGAAAGGGAGTTAGCTGCAATTCTTAAACTTGAAATGGTTGGGATAATGTGGCAGGAAGGGAAGAGAGGCAAAACAGGTGATGACTATTTAGGTTACATGCATAATGAAACACAGAAATGACAAAGTAACATGACACCTCATACATATTTCATCATTTTAGAGGGATACAAACGAACAGAATATTATTTGAGTTATGCTGGTGAATGACGTGACAAGGTATCTGAATTCAGAGGGGAAGCCCACTCTGGCTCACATGATGGTCACATTAGCATTCAATAACCTTGCCTTATCTCTTCTCTTTTATGTCTCTATATAAATAGATATTCACTGATTAATTTGACAGAAACCATCTCAAATTCAAACTCTGAAAGAAGAAAAGAAAAGAGCAAACTACAATGGCTTGCAAATACCATGTAAGATCAATTAGCTTGCCTTCAAGATCACATCCTAGCACCCTTAGAATTGAAGTTGAGCTGAACAGGCTCAAAACTAGGGAAGCATCATTTTTGTCAACATCTGAGTTGATTAGTGGCGGTCTTTCAGGACTGGAGAACTTGCATCAATGCATGGATGATCTTCTCAGCATGGCTTCAACACAACAAGTCCTCTCCCAGAATCAACATGAGAAATGTATTGATGAATTGTTGGATGGATCTGTGAGGATTTTAGATATTTGTGGTATTGCAAGGGATTACATGTTTCAAATTGAGGAACATGTTCATGCCCTTCAATCTGCTCTCCGAAGGAGGAAGGGTGATTCAAGCATTGAGAAGGACATTCTTAATTGCTTTCGCTTCAGGAAAGAGATGAAGAAGCAGGGAAAGAAATTGATCACAGAATTGAGGCAAATGGACAACAAACTTGGAGCATCACCACTCCCGGATCTGGATCATCATTTCTCAGCTGTGATTCGGGTGCTAAGAGAAGTTACTGTAATGAATACTTCAATCTTCCAATCCCTTTTCTCATTCTTGTCAGCACCAGTTCCCTCAAACCGAAAAAGATGGTCTCTGGTCTCAAAATTGATGCACAAGGGGGTAATATCATGTGAAGAGAAGCAAGAGAATGTAAATGAAATCGAAAGCGTCGATGCTGCACTTTGCAAACACACTTTCGATGTTGAGAAGATGAAAATTGCACATAAAACATTGGTGGCTTTGGAGAGTAGCATTGAAGGCCTAGAGAACCGTCTGGAATGCGTGTTTAGGCACTTGATCAAAACAAGAGCGTCTCTCTTGAACATAATATCTCAATAGAGAATTCTCATGGCTATTTCTATGCCAAATCCTGCTGAGGCATCCAAGTTTTAGAGGATTTGCCTGGGGATTTCAATTTCAATTCAAACGATTTGTACATTATGCGAAAATTGTAGCTATAGAATGAAATATAAATTGAAGTTTGATAATCCAAATTATGCTGTGTCCTTGTCTTTTCTTTGTTTCTTCTGTAGACATCGAGATTTTTCTCTTGGTGAGAAACTATCACCTCGATTTATAAGGACTACATACGCATAATGTTTATGCTTGTGCCACTTATCAACGTTGGATTGTTGATAAACGTACTCCAGAGAATAAGGGCCTGGTGAGCAGAAGATGGGATAAGGGAACAAGTTATTTCAAAACCATGCCCTGATCAAATCATCCTGATGTCAAGTTTTAGTTTTAGTTTCAGTAAGACTGTAAGGCTGCAGTCAGCTAGCTCAAATCTGGGCTGACTATATTAGAACTCACATATCCCAGCATTTAAAAGCTCAATAAATTTGCAGGATTATATATTCTATAGAAACAATGGGCAGATAGGGACTAGAGAGAGTTTAGGCTGCAAACTAGTAATCTTAGCAGGGACCCTAAGACAGAAGAATAGATTTGAACCTTCAATTACAGGGTCATAAAAGCATGATGCCTATAGGTCTAGGAGAAAGACATAGAATTAATCAACAGATAAGGAAAACAATTTGAATTTCGTAGTTGCTGTGCCTCTATCACATTGCATCTGCAACTGAAATTGACATATCGGAGTTCTGAAAGTTAGGACCAGAGCTTGATGTATTTCACATTGCATGTTCCTGATATATTCTTAGGTTCACAACTTGGCAGACAGCTTGATCACAGTAATTGGGTCTATATTTGTTTAGTTTGTTATAACGCCAAGGAAATTATTACTGGAATTATTATTTTCATAGCAAAATTTATGTAACAACTGATCAGTTCATGATGTTATGACCACGGCTGAATATTACAAAACTGGACATCTCAACTCTCTTACAAGAATCATAACACGTGTCTGAACGATAGTAGAATTTAGAAGTTCTACGTATGTTTCTGTTGATTGTCCTTTACTCCAACATTTAGGCTCCTCATTAGATAAGATATTGCTTATTATTAGGTGAATCAGAAGCTCAACTCCCTTTTCCAAAGCAAAAACACTTTGTTGTAGGAATGATAAAATTGCACCAGAGGCTCCTGGGGTCCTGGTATTGGATGCGGCCTTATTCAAGGCGGGCTTTCTGCGTCATGAATTGAAGGAGTTAATTCGTATATATCTTTCCCACATATTTATTGCATTATAATTATATCAAGAATTTTATATATCTTTTCCACTTATACCAAGCCATACTAGTTTAATACACGTAGAACTCTAAAAGTCAAACAAGATAACTGTATGAAGTTTTTCTAAATGGAGAGAAAAAGACAGAAATAAACGAACAAAATGGAAGGCCAGACATTAGGAGCAAAATCTATCTTCATTCACTCTAGAAATCAGCTTGCAATAGCTTGGCCATAATCTATCAATATCCTCACCGCTAGCTGTTTATTCCTAACAAATTGAATGTCAATGTAGTAGCATTCATGTATCCATATAATTAGACGAAAACATATTATCTGTATTACATTATAATATATCAAGAAGAAGACTGATGTCTTAGTCTGGCAAGTCTCTGCTAGCAAGCCTTGTGGGGAACATACAGATGAGGCACCACTCGTGCATCCGTAATAAATGATATTTTCAATTTTATTCTATTTTATGTTTACTACCATATCCATTTAAATGCTGAACTTTATTAATATAAGGCTCCTGATCTTTTCGGATATCAAATAAGTTTCAGGGTCCTCCATATCCAGAGAACTTTGGATGGCCACATTTCTTTAAATGTTTAGCCGACTTCCATGAATTGAACAATAGAAAAATATAGGTTGGCGTTTGGCAGTGGCGGTGGTGCATTAGATGATGAAAAATGCAGAGTGATCTAATGAATCAGAGTGTATGGAAAACAAATCCCAAAAATGAGATACATCGTACCCAAATCAGAAACATGAGATTGTATTAAATAAGGCAAATTTATAAGTCTTTTTTGGTGCGATATGTGATAACATGATACATTCTACAGGAAAAATTCCCACACTATCTTCACATGCCTTTCACATTTGCACATGGGCCTACAGTGATTTCTGGTTCCTTTCCATCTCCAAATTTGTTGGTGTATATATATATATATATAGATAATAGAACTCACCCTCCATCTTTAAAGAGTCTTTCTAAAATGAAAATAGTAACAATGGTTGCTTTCTCACCATAGTCTACTAACAGATACAGTGTCCGATCCGTCAGCTTTCCAGCTAGATCACATCCAAGCACGCTTAAAATGGAAGAGGAGCTCCACAAGCTTAGGTCTTGGCAAGGAGCTTCATCATCAAATGCTCAAACACTTTGCACCGGTCTATTTGGACTGGCAGAGTTGTATATTTGCATAGAAGATCTCCTGAATTTGCCCCTTATCCAGCAAGCTTTAGCTCAGCGTCACAATAAGAAATGGGACAATGAGTAGTTAGATTGCTCTTTAAAGAACTTGGATCTATGCGGTAACACAAGGGATGCCATTTTGTCAATGAAACAAAGTGCTAGAGAACTTCAATCAGCTCTTCGACGAAGCAAGGGAGGAGAGCTAACCATTGAGAGTAATATCAGTGCTTACAGTTGCTCTAGGAAAACTATGAAAAAGGAAATTGCAAATTCTCGCATCATTGAAGCAAATAGATACCATATTCAGGGACTTTCCCCGGTTAGAACAAAACCATCATCTCTCTGCTGTGGATGGATTGCTTAGAGAAGCAAGCTTGATCACTGCCTCCATCTTTCATTCCCTCTGTTATTCCTGTCTCCATCATTCTTTAAGCCAAAGCGTTCAAAGTGGTCAATGGTTTCAAAGTTGGTGCGGAAGGGTTTGACAGCATGTGTCGATGTTGCAGTTAGCAACTTACTACTGCAGCAGCGTTCAGAACATGACTCTGAGGAAAAGAAAATTCAATGTGCACAGGTAAAATTGGAATCTTTGGATGCTATCTTTGAAGGTTTTGAAGATGGATTAGAGTGCTTGTTGAGGAGCTTGATTCATACTAGAGTTTCTCTCCTAAATATACTTTCTCATTAGAGTTTGTTCTTTCTGAAATAAAAATTTATATCCTCCAATCTATTGAGATTTGAGATGTGGATCTACTCCATGTTTTTAAGGTTTTCATGTACATTAATCAAAATGTATAGTGAAACTCTGAAATGTAATTTAAAACGTTGGGACAATATGTACAGTACTTATTCGTATATAGGATGCACTATTTTTACTTGTGAAATTGCTGGAGCAGCACATTATAGTTTTCGCGAGTTCCATTCTAAAAGAAAATTAATAAGAAGTGAAAACTAAACATACTTTCTCAAATCCTTGTTATGCAGTCATTGTCAATGATTTGAGGCTTGACCCCTTGGTTGATATTTAATTAGATGCTAGGTCTAGCCACTACTTTACAAAAACTCTTTTAAGAACAAAAATAATAATTGACTGCATGAAATTACTTAATTATCCTAAAACAAAAAAAAAAAAAAAAAAGGATAAAACTGATGAAGAAGTTAATGGCTCGCAGCTCGGTTAAGAACAGCAAATTTGAATCTTGAATTGCATATGTCCCAGTGAAGGCCAATCTCATCACCCACCTTCAGTTTCCTCCTCTTAACAAAGTCCTTGACCCAATTCTTGATAAGCACATTAGCCCCCTTGTTCCACTGCTTGAAAACCAGCTCATGTTCAGTCCTTGTATCACAATCCCACACAGAAACTGGCAACCCTTCCTTAATTCTTGTAAGTTGATCAGCATTCCAGAAAGGAAAAACATGAGATTCTACGTCCTCCGATGCCAACAAGAGCCTAGACATGTTGCCAAGATCACTTCCGAAGAGCTGCTTCTTAATGCACCAAGGACCATGGCCAACCCTCAATTCAGCCCCAACTGCCTTATTCTTTTCTTCTCTCTCAACTTTATTTCTCTTGTTTCTGCAGGACGAAACTTTTCTTTTGCTGCTAGGATTCTCCACTCTTTCTCTCTTCTTGGAAGTGCGAGTATCATCATAACCCAAATTGTGTTGCAAGGAAAGACCTCCAACCTTGGGGCTGTTACTGACATTGTGTTCTTGGTTCTGTTTATCAGTTGCAGGACTCTTTCCTTTGGAAACCCCAATGCTGTTCCCCGAAAGAGACGATTCTAATGCAACATCGCTCAGTTCCAAAGAAAAACTTCCGCTGTTCTTCTCCATGCAGGTGTTCATCTTATTTTCTTCTCTTTGACAATGATCATTGGTATAATTACTCTTACCAACTTCAGAAATATCCTTGTGATGAATTTCTTCTTTCCCCTTATCAGTTGCAGTGGACGTATAATCAAGTGAAAGAGACAATTCCAATGAAACATTGCCCTTTTCACAAACTAGATAGTTTTCCATTGGCATGGTTTTGGCCGGAGAGAACAAACCTCTAGCAATAAAGGGCTTGTAAGACATTCTTGAATGAACAAACCTCTCAATACCTCAACTCTGAATGAACTTTGTTGAAAAGAAATAAGGATGATAGAATAGGGGAAAGGTTTACATATATATATATATATATATATATATACATAGAGAGAGAGAGAGAGAGAGATCATGCAATCCTTTTCCTGTTAGGAAAATGATTTTAAGGGAAACCTAATCTCCAAGTAATCTATTTTATTGGGGTGATTTAGGAAATTTAAGTAGCTTGTAAGTATTTTGTTGGGCTCAGGTAAAATCTTTTTCTTGACTTGTTTCTAAGTAACCATGTTACCTGCCCACTATTAGGTTTTTTTTTTTTTTTTTAAATCTGAAATTATGCAATCAATTTTATTTCTAAAGAAACTTTATTTCACTTATAATAATTGCAACAAAATTAAAGATTTTATTAGTAGACTTTGAAATAATAATTTCAAATTGGTTATTGTAGAAAGCATGTATTTGGATTGCAAAATATAACAAAAGTTGGAATGAGGTAATTAGAGTGCGCATAATTTCAACTTGGGAATAAAATAAAATAAAATAAGCATTAGAATATTTAGTTCATTTTTTCATTCATAAATATATATAAATATATATATAAAGATAAGAAAATATTTATTATTAAGATTTTGGTTCTGTGACTAATTAGAATAATATTTTTTTAAAAATAAAAAGTATCATCTTGTCTAATACAAAATGGATTTTTCAAATCAACTTACTAAAACTGATATGGGAAATAAAAGGATAAAAATGGCTTTGATTTTCTTGTAATTCAAAAATCCCAATTCATAGGTTTGATTTATTACAAGAAAAATAAATAAATACAAAAATTAAGAATACAAAAGTAATGAATTTGGGGTTTGGGTTTTAACGATGAGATAGGATAATAGGGTATAAGGCCCAATGGGAATTCAAATATGGTTTTGGATAGGGAAATGGAAAATGGGATTGAAACAATGGAAAAGGAAAGCCCACTACTAACACATGTCAAATCACCTAAACGGTCACATTGTCCCCCTCGGACCAAAGTCGGTGACAGAGAGAGGGTGTGGGACCCCACATTCAAAAGATTCAGTATCCCAATGTTTCAATCCTACCGTTACAAATCTTTCCCTTCCCTTCCCTTCCCTTCTTCTTCTAAACGCTCTTTTGTCTTCCTTAGTCACTAGCTCTTGTTCTTGTTCTTATAGTCTCTCTTCTGAAACTGATAGGGCAACTGGGCAAGGGCGAAGGTGAAGGTGAAGGTGCAAGCCATGTCGGTGTCGACTGCCGCCACTGCCCATTACAAGAAGCTCATAAAGCTTACTCTCTCTCTCTTCCGCAACGGCTTCAACTCCTCTAAATGGTACCATAACAACCCTCAGCTCATCTCTTTTCTTTCTCGGCTTATCATTTTTTTTTTTCATTTCTTGCATTTTCTTACTATCAAAACCAGCGGGGCTTATAGTTGTTTATCTCTTTTCTCTACTTAATTCTAACTATTTCCGTTTGGTTCCCCTGAAAACGGAAACTGATACCATAAATGAGTGAAAATTTTTCTTTTTTGGGCTTTGATTTGTCTTGCTTCTTTCCATTGTTTTGTGTACTACTTCTTTTGTTATTTATTTCTTTCTTTTCTTAAATTGTAGCAAAACAGCGGCGAAGATGGCTGTGGCAAGGATTAAGCTATTGAGAAACAAGAGACAGGTAGTGGTGAAGCAAATGAGGCGTGACATTGCCTTACTTCTTCAGTCTGGTCAAGATGCCACAGCTCGTATTCGGGTAGTTATTTTTATTTATTATTTGTAAGACTAGTGATTTTGTGCGGCACATGGAATAAGATTAAGTTAATTTAATGAATGCTTGTGGTATTGTAATTGTAGGTTGAACATGTCATAAGAGAACAGAATGTTTTGGCTGCGAATGAATTCATCGAGCTCTTCTGTGAGTTAGTTGTAGGCAGGCTTTCTATCATTGCTAAGCGAAGGTGAGACAGTTTGATTTCTTTTTTTTACGTTCTAGGGCTTCTCTTTATATATGACGTTCCTAAATCAGTCCACTTATTCCAGGGAATGCCCTGCTGATCTTAAAGAAGGAATTGCTAGTTTGATTTTTGCTGCCCCAAGGTGTGCAGAAATTCCAGAACTAGTAGCAATTAGAAATATTTTTGAGAAGAAATATGGAAAAGATTTTGTTTCAGCAGCCACTGATCTGCGGCCCAACTCTGGCGTTAATCGCCTGGTAAGCTTCATCTTCCTATCCTTGCAGTCACTGCTTCTATGATCTGCTGCATTGTGGATATATCAAAGAAAATCTTTTTCTTTGAAGATGATTGCACTGTAACTCAAATTTCCTATATTGTACCTTACTTTTTAATGATATAAAGTTAATAATTCTATTTGCTAAGCACTTAGAAGAGGTGCTTCCTGCATATCTTAGTAGCTTCTTTTTAAATGACATAGAGTCAACAGTTTTGTTTGCTAAGCACTTTTAAGAGGTGCTTCCTGATCATATCTGGTTCTTTGAGAAGAATGACAGTCCCTTGCGTGTCTGTACAGCTGATTGAGAAGCTCTCAGTAAAAACTCCTAGTGTTGAAGTAAAGTTGAAAGTCATGAAGGAAATAGCCAAGGAACACAACATAGAATGGGATACAACTGAATCTGAAAAGGAGCTGCTCAAGCCTCCTGAAGAGCTTATAGTTTGTTCCTCTCCCCACAGCCCCTTCTCTCTCTCCCTCTTATTTACATATTTACTTGCTCACACACACCATGAATGAAATTCTAAGTTCATTGTCGATCTAAAGTTATGTGCTTTTCTAATTGAATAGGAGGGACCGCCTACTTTTGCTAGTGCCAGCAGCTTACCTGTGAAACCTGCAACAAGTCATTATCTTGAGCCAAAAGAACCATTGACCAGGTAACTCTGACAATTTACAAACAAAAATTTCCCCATCAATAGTTGCTAACTAGTTCTGATTCTTTACCCTCATAAAAAAAATGGCAGAGGAGAGGGCCCTATGCATTTTAAAGACACGGTCTCAGCTGCTTCAGCAGCTGAAGAATCTGCAAAAAGAGCAATTGCTGCTGCACAAGCTGCTGCATATTTGGCCAACCGTGATGGTAATCGATTTAATGAAGCTTATGGTTGTGTTAAAATTTTAAATGATTCAAGCATCATTACTGGATTTGGATACCTTTCTGGCAATTCTGCTGGTGGATTTGTTGTTCCAACTTATCCTTCAGTCAATTCTCAGCACATGGATCATCAATATAAAGTCCCTGAGAGAATATATGAATCTAGGAGTTTTGAGAGGTCCTACTATCCTAGTAGTGAGGAAGCAAGACCTAACAATGTTGAAGGTGGAAACACCTGTAGGAGACACAGCTACAATGCCCCTATTACTTATTCAGATATAAAGTTTGATGAATCAGATTGTGATGAAGAAATAGAAACTAAAGATGCTTCTGGCAGCAGTAATCTTCCACCTGATCGATCTCCACCATCAGTACGTCCATGTCATGATAAACAGGATTCCATCCATCGTGTTCACCCCAAACTGCCAGATTATGATGATCTTGCAGCTCGGTTTGAAGCTCTGAAGTATCGCAAGTCACTGCCTTGAAATCAGATGCTTGTAGCCAGTTTTGTTGGGATTCAGATTTTATGTTTACATGATATCATATATGATAATAATGCGTTTATCCTGTATGTACTTTCCTTGAGAAAGCAACATAGAAACAGAGGATACAATCGTGAAGAGCTTTAATATATGACTAGTATTATTTTGTGTGTACTCTCTCAACATTTTCTTTTCATTTTCATTTATTTTTTTGTACTACATATGAAAAAAAAAATTGGAATACTATAATTTCAGCATAAACTCTCTTTCTCTGTTTCTTCTTTTGAGTCTAATGTTTTTCCTGATTGATGCAGGCTGCTGACTTGATATGATACCTTGCAGGAGCTGTGCTTCCTTCAAGTTCAAGAGAGGAGCTGTAGTATCATTAACACCGAGTGTATTCATGTCTCTTAAATGAAAAGTACTCCTTTTAGTTTCAAAAGAAAAAAGAGAGGAGCTGGTCGTCATGATTTAAAGTTTAATTTAAACATCCTGGATTTAATTTGTGATTTATGGCAGCACAACTTCATTTCTATCTACTTAGGTTTTTTCTTTTTTTTTTTTTTTGGGTGGGGGGGGGGGGGGGGGGGGTGGGTGGGGCAACGCAAAGAAAAAGCAGCTTCTCTAGCTCCGTTTCCTTTAAGTGATGTTGGAGGCTCTGCAGAAGTCGATCTTCTATCCAATTTTTGTTCAACGTAACATGCTCTGGCTCCTTCTAAGCTTCATGTATATATAACGGCAACGTTCTTTAGTGGTTTTTTTTTTTTTTCTAAATGGCTTTACAATAGCCTTATAAGTTTTTATGCTTGTGAAACAACCACTTGGTCATCTTGATTTCAGAGCCAAATAGTTGCTGCCATATAAAATGGTGATGACATCCTAGCTCTTGGAGAAGATTATCCTGGTAGTTGTGCAATTCTAGCAAGTAATTTCATCCTTTTGTCAGATCATGATTCAACGAGAAAAATAACTAACACTTTATCGAAGCTTAGACCTCCAAACAATGCAGGAATCCTCCAAGGCCTGATAAAATTATCTGTACAAATAGGAGAGTTGCCTTCGTCTAAGCATTTAGATTGGTGGGCTGCACTGTTAAGCTGCACAATTATGTATATGATTAATGAAATTTCTTATGCATATGCCCCTTCAGCTAGGAAAGATCTATCTTAAGAATGGTCAACTTTCATCTTAACAAACCACAAAATAGGCGTGCTACACCATAATATATCTTGGAAAATAAAAGATGTCAATAAAAAGAACATTGACGCTATCAGTGACAAGCGATTTTACACCTTCAGAAAGTCATAAAGATTTTTGTAAGATACAGGCTCTTAAGTTCAAAGGTCTTCAACTTCTTGAGTTCTTTCTTCCTAACAAAAGAGTTAAAGAAACAAGGATTAAATTACGAGAGCAATAATTATGAAGAAATATATGAATCCATGTACATGGTTGCTATACATGTTTCAGAATTGCATTGACAGATTGATGTGCGAAATATTTTTGCCTCGGTTGAAAACATGGGTAACCAACAAATGATAGAAAGTGAGCAGGCTTTGAGAAGGAAAGTACTTCATACCACAATTGATCATTGTCGTCCAGCTCAAATGAAAATCGTTCTTTCCCAGCCTGTTCCCAGCAGATATTCCAAACTATGTTATCATCATTAGGCTATCTAGCACGCAGAACTAAGCAACAACAGAAACTGATTGTACGCACCAAATAGGGGCAGAAAAAGACCTTATACAGATAATAAGCCATTGCAAACTCGACAAAAAAAAGTACCTAACCCAAAATTCCCAGTCATACTTTGGTTCAATATGTTAAAATATTGTCTTTTATGTTTCAATTTATTAATCATTTCGTTATGAAATACCTTTCTGCTTGAAAATCCCAGTAGAACTCATAAGAATAAAGTGCTAACCAGTAGGTGACCTTGTAACGTGCCACTTCCAAAACCAAAGGAGGCTACAGCCTTCTTAGTCTTAGCCCTTTCGTTTTCCTTTGCAAACACTACCTGGAGAGGCATCATGACCCATGGTAGAAATTCCTTGAGACAAACACAGAATTTCACCCCACTTTGAATTGGAGTCTTGGGATCAACAAATGCCCAATTTAATCCAAAATGCCTGCAAAAATAACCAAGATAAATGACTAGGATATACCTCTCAATAATAGTTCTCTACATCTATCAAAAACAAAGTACAAAAACTACGAACCTCCAATTTTGCAAAGCTGCCTTGCCCTTTTCATAGGTCTCAAGACCAGAACCAACTAAAACACGAGCATGATTGACAAAATAACCATCTTTGGCGAGCTCCTTGTTGTCCTTGATGCAAGACACAGGCTTTGCAGCAACTCCTTTATATTTGGTGTCCTAGTTGAATGTACCTGACCTGGTGATAATTTGCAGATAAAAATGGGTAATTTTCCTAAAAGAGAAACAAAAATAAACATAGTTTGAATTCTGAAGTCAATTAGCACTATGTTTCAGTACTTTTTAATGAAAACAAAAATAAAAAATAATATTCTCTTAGTATTATTTTATTAAAAAGAATCTTTAAATATATAGAAAAATTAATATGTATAAAGAAACCTACAAAATCATGGTACAATCATTCAAACATAAAAACAAATAAAAAATTAAAAAAATAAATTGCAACAAATCAAGAAAGTGATCATGATTTGATATCTCAACAAATCAAGAAATTGATTATTTGATATATAATTTGTCAACACTTCCCCTCAAGCTGGAGAATAGATATTTATCATTTTTAGCTTGTCAACAAATGTCTTGAAGCTTAATTTATGTAGTTTCTTTGTAAGAATATCTGTTGCTTGTTGCTTTGTAGGAACATAGATCATACAAATCACTCCCATATCAATCTTTTCTTTGATAAAATACCTATCAACTTTCAAATATTTTGTTCGATCATGATGCACCAAATTATGATCAATACTTATAGCAATATTTTTATTACAATATAGTTTCATAAGGTATTCAGCAATCATTTTCAATTCTCCCAAAAATCTCTTCAGTCAGATAAGTTCACAAGATTTTGCTTTTCCACGTGACAAGATTACCCCAAACCTTTGACAATATCCAAAGGTGGATTTTCTGTTTTCAATTGATGCTGCCCAATTTGCATATGTAAATGCTTCCGCATTTCTTTGTTCATTCTTCTTAAACAACAAACCCTTACCAGGTGTCACCTTCAAATACCTTAAGATTTGATACACGAGCTTCAAGATGCTCCTCAAATGAAGAGTGTATGTATTAACTTACTACACTAACTGCAAAGGCAATATCAAGTTTTGTATGAGACAAGTAGATCAATTTTTCAACCACTTGTTGATATCTCCCCCGTTTTATATTGGAATTCCTCATTTCTTTCCAAGTTTTACATTAGGATTTATAGGAGTATCAGCTGGTTTACAGCCAAGCATAGCAGTTTCCTTCAAGAGATCAACTATATATTTCTTTTGGGAAACAACAACCCCATTCTTGCTTCTTGCGACTTCCATCCCTAAAAGGTATTTTAGCTATCCAAGATCCTTAAGTTCAAATTCTTTTCCAAGAGTCTTTTTTAGCCTCTCTATTTTTTTAGTGTCATCACTTGTCAATATAATATCACTAACATAAACAATCAAAATAGTCTTTTTTTTATGTCGTGAGTGTTTGAAAAAAAGAGTATGATCAGTTTGTCTTTGACTAAATCCATGTCTTTTTACTGACTTTGCAAAACGATCGAACCAAGTCTTTGGTGATTGATTTAAACCATTGAGAGACTTCTTCAATTTGCATACCTTCCTGTCATTGTTTCCTTTTAAAAGCCAGGAGGCCAATCCATATAAACTTTTTCATCCAACTCCCTATTAAGGGCATTCTTAACATTCATTTGGTGTAATGACCTGTCAAGATTAGCAGCTAGTGAAAGTAGTACCTTTATAATATTTAATTTAGCAATTCGAGCAAAGGTTTTATTTTACTCCAAAAGTTTGAGTAAATCCCTTTGCAACTAAGCGAGCCTTATGTCTCTCTATTCCACTATCTAAATTATACTTAATAGTAAACATGATAGCATGAGCAACTTCTAATAAGTGACGATTTTTCCATTGCACTTCCTGTAACATTTGCTATTCCTATTGTGTCACCAACAAAAGCTAAGTTAGAAATAGGGCCAAATTCATCTATACTTAATTCTCAACAAAAAAATAGAGCTCCTTGTTTATTCATGTCAAGAAGTACAAACTTGTATGCCCCAATAGCATTATCAAAAATCAGATCCGCAAGTAAATTCTGAATCAGAAAATGCTAAGCTACAACACTATCAATAGTGAATATCGATCCACAAGATTTTGAAATATTGTGCCTACCGCACCATCACCGGTAAATACTCCACCTGACGATCTAGATGTATGTATAGCACTCAAGAAAAGGTGTAAGATTGTGTGCTCAGGAAAGGTGTAAGATCATGCACTAAACACCCGTTATCCAATTATCTATCTTACAGTTGTTTGTCTACTACATTTTGTGCCATGATAGAAAAAATTGAAAGCTTTACTCTAATACCATGAAAACAGAAAAAAAAAATGTTCTCTAAGTATTATTTTATTAAAAAGAATTCTCAAATATATAAAGAGATTTGATATATACAAAAAAGCCCACAAAATCAGGACATAATTATCCAAACATAAAAATAAATAAAAGACCAGAAAGATAAATTCCAACGAATCAAGAAAGTGATCTTGATTTGATATCCCAACAAATCAAAAAATTCATCCTCATTTTACACCTAATCTGTTAACAGTTAATGCAAGATTTCTATTGTTCAGGAAAAGGTCGAGCCCACTATAAGAAAACCATTTATGTATGAACAATCCTCAATCACCCAAACTCATAGAAAATCTCAGTAAATCATTCTTTAAAGCAAATCATAGATCAGTTCAATTCTGTTCTTAGCTCATAAAATGTGATAAAATGGATAGTAATGGAAGAGAGAATATGAGACCAGAAAAGAAAGAGAAGTTAAGAGAGATTTTAGTGGTGATTTTCATTCATAACCTTAAAATAATTGTCTTACATGTTTATAACTCATTCTCACTATGACTATCCTACTATTCCAACTATTCTCATTATCACATAACTAATTTACAATTACTACTATGGACACTATTACATAACTAATTGACAGCCCACCAAAATCGTTATACTTTCACGTGACAGCTTTTTCACATCTTTTGCTTTTTCTTGTGATTTTATTTCTATTCTGCTGACAGTTTCCTTCATAGGCCAAGCCTTTTTATATTTTAACACAATTTCATTATTCCTGGATGATAATATCATATTTTGGGTTGAATAACTTCACTTAAGATGCTTTTTTTTTTTTGTGAAGCTCGCAATTCATAAACCAGAAAAGGGAGGTTTACCTGTTTGTTTATCTAAGCAAAGAGCAATTTCAATGCTGTGCTTCGATATTTGATTATTTTCGAAATGCAATTGACTGACAAAACAACAGTTGCCACAAGTGAGGAGGAAGGGAAAGAGGAGGTTGAAAAGGGGCAACGTTGGTCGTGCCCATTTCCTAGTCGGTCCACTTTCTTCAACAAGGAAACTAAGATGGGCCTGGCACACAGATTATGTGGGCCTTCTATTTCACAAAAAGGTCCAAAACAGTTTTTAATCTAAAAGTCAGGCCCTAGGTTATCCGGCTTACAACCCAGTACCAAGGCCCAAGGTTATCAAACGACAGCAGTTAAGCTGAAAATTTTTGACGCTCTGCTTCGATTGAAAGAAACTGAAGTAGGGCCTCCAATTTCCATTCCAGGTCTAGGTGAAGAACAACTCGACGATTCGATTAGTTTTTTCTTTTATTTAATTTTATCTTTTTCAATAATATTATCCATTTGGTGATCACGTATCCAGAAAATGAAATTGTAACGAGCCTTGAATTCAGAAGAAATTGCAAAATGAAGAAGTCGCCATTGCCGGTGCAAAACCTTAGCGGCGAAGAGAAGCATCGGAAATGTAGAAAAGAAGCTTTGGTTAAACTCTTGAGATGGCATTTCGGTCATCCAGATTTCAGAGGGAAACAGTTGGAAGCCATTGAAGCCGTTTTATCGGGTAAAAATGAAATTTTCATCAAGATTTTTTTTTTTTTATTCCTTTTTCTTTTTCAGTTTCTTTCAAATTTTTTGTTTAATTTAACCATTTTTTTATTTCAGGAAGAGATTGCTTTTGTCTAATGCCGACCGGAGGAGGAAAATCAATGTGTTATCAAATCCCTGCGCTGGCTAAAACAGGAATTGTGCTCGTCATTTCTCCATTAATAGGTGCATCAATTTCTTCTATTTGATTTTTATTTTTTTTCTCTTTCTACATATTGAAAGAATTTTTTAACTTGCAAAACTTGTTTTTTCATTGGTTTTAAATGGGAAGGACATTGCTCTTAACTGGTCCATTTGTTTCACCAATTTAATCCGCAGCCTTGATGGTAAGTATTTTGCAGCTTTCTTCTAGTGTAATCTTCCTTTTTTTCTTCAATGTATCATTCAATTTTTGGAATTTATTTGCTAATTAGGAAAACCAAGTAATGGCATTGAAAGAGAAAGGAATTGCAGCTGAATTTCTCTCTTCAACTCAAACGTCACAGGTGAAGAATAAGGTAATTTAAATTATGACACTGATTGTTAAGCTTGAGCTTCATTTGGTACTGGGAAACCATATGTTGTGTTGTAGCATTAGGCTATTATTATTTTACGCCTTAATAGAAAATTTCTGGGTTTTTTTTTTCTTTGCAATGGATGAGACTAGTTGAAATCAGCATGTTATAATATTCATTTTGATCTTTCTGAAAATTTTGATGTTTCTGATTTAATTATCAGATTCATGAAGATCTTGATTCTGGACAACCATCATTACGCTTGCTTTATGTGACACCAGAGTTGATTGCCACTTCAGGGTTTATGTCAAAGCTTACAAAGATTCATGGCAGAGGATTGTTAAATCTCATTGCTGTAGATGAGGTGTGAAGTGGGATCAACTATATGACTTTAATTCCTGGAATTTGCAGTTGTTTCAACAAGAAGTTTAAGTCTTGTCTGTAATTTTGCATCTTTTGTGAAAATTTCAGGCACATTGCATCTCATCGTGGGGTCATGATTTCAGGTTTGTAATCACTCCTTCCATGAGCCAGACTTGGGTATTTTCTTTCAACTGAAAAAAGGAAAGAACTTTGAGCTCTCACTAATAAATGCTGCTTTTAGTTATCTGTCAAATTACTGTATATGAAAGCAATTGATCTTCAGCCTGAATATATGCTTACACTTTCATATGTAACCTGTATGTGGTATGTTCATGTTTCAATCTATTTTAATTTGCTGAGGTGTCCTTAACCCTTTAACTTTTTATATGTGTCCTTTGCATTTGTCATTTGCTGCATATAAATCCATGTCAGACTACTGTATTGCTAAAACTCTTATGTGAAGGTTTCTGATTATTTTTTCTGTTTTCTTGCTTGTGTATTATTATAGGCCTAGCTATCGTAAGCTTTCATCTTTGAGGAGCCATCTACCAGATGTACCAATTTTGGCTTTGACTGCCACTGCTGTTCCTAAGTGAGTGTGGTGATATACTTTTTGCTTTTTAAGGGAGAAAATATATTATCAAGTGCATTGCCAAAACCAATTTAGAAAATAAATTTCTTTGATCCTTTTTTTTTTTTTTTCATTCTGCAGAGTACAGAAAGATGTGATAGATTCCTTAAACTTGCAAAGTCCTTTAGTACTTAAATCATCTTTCAACCGTCCAAATATATATTATGAAGGTAAGTACTAAGCTTCACTTGATGATGCTCATGACAAGTACTAGGCATTAAGATCATATTTTTACCTTAACAAGTTTGTTGGTGTTGTATATGTTTATATTCATTTTGGTTTTTCTTTAATCACAATTGATCCTCATATAGAGAATCGTATGTAATTCTTGTGCATCTAAGATGATTTCTCAAAAATGCAGTTCGGTATAAAGATCTTTTGGATGATTCTTATGCTGACTTGTGTAATGTACTCAAATCTGCTGGAGATGTCTGTGCAATTGTTTACTGCCTTGAACGGACAACTTGTGATGATTTGTCTTCTCATCTTTCTGGAAATGGAATTTCTTGTGCTGGTAACTGATACTTCTTTTCCCGCGAACTTCATTGTTGACCTATATCATATGATATGTTTTACTTTTACGTTTCTTTTTCAGCCTATCATGCAGGGTTAAATAATAAATTGCGGAGCTGTGTCTTAGATGATTGGATTTCTTCCAAGATACAGGTTGTTGTGGCCACGGTAGCTTTTGGGTATGATTAACCAAAAAATTACCTAATATTGAACTTTCGCTCTTTGATCTTCTTCGACTGAGTTATAGTAAATGCAGCTTATCACAATTTTGTCTTTGATGCACTAGTCTGTTCATCTATTAAATACTGTTGAAAGACTAGTTTGAATGGTAATATTGAACTTAGGTTTGTAAATAAGAACTCTCGTGTGAAGAAACTGGCAATAGATATTCAGAGGAAAGCCTTCTTAAAGCTAGCGTGCCTTTCTTTCTATTTCACTTTTTATAATTTCTATGGCTTGCAACTTTCATGAGATTGTGATGAATTCCTTCTTTTCTTTTTATATTCTACTTGGAGCTGATCCTCTGCATCCATGGTTATTCACATAGTGCTGTTCTTTCAGAATGGTAAGCTAACACATTGCTGATCATTTCATTGAACAATAAAGAAATTTTTCTTTAATTGTTTGATTTTTGGACTGTTGTGGAATTGATGAATATCATAGACCTCTAATTTCTTGTGGTCAATATTTCTAGGGCATAGACAGAAAGGATGTGAGAATGGTTTGCCATTTTAATATCCCAAAGTCTATGGAAGCCTTCTACCAAGAGTCAGGTAGAGCTGGTCGTGACCAATTGCCTTCTAGAAGCTTGTTGTACTATGGAATGGATGATCGAAAAAGGATGGTTAGTCACCAGTTCTAACAATGTCATCATGATTGCTCTCAATTTGCATGTTTTTAACTAGAATTTATCTATTTATAATATTGGACTACTTGACAGGAATTTATTCTTAGCAGTGCTGAGAGCAAGAAATTGCAATCATCAAACTCACAACAAGGATTGTCAAAGAAGTCAATGTCTGATTTTAATCTGGTCAGTAGAAGTTTTGTTGGTAAAATGTAAACTCTCCTTGCTACTTATTTTTTATGAAATTGAAGCACATACAACATGCAGATGGTTGAATATTGTGAGGGTTCTGGATGCCGTAGGAAAAAGATTCTTGAGAGCTTTGGGGAACAGGTAATGGAATTTGTGGTAAAAGCATGTTTCCTGTATGCAATAGTAGGCTGCTTTTCCCCCATCAATACTGATGCAAAACTACTTATTATCATTGAAGGTATCCGCATTGCTATGTAAAAAATCATGTGATGCCTGCAAACATCCAAACCTCATCGCCAAGTATCTGGAAGAGTTAACAACTGCTTGCACTGTTCACCAGAGAAATGGTTTCTCAAGAATCTTAATGAGCAGGTATGCTTTAATTTTTAACCTTGCTTCGAAGAAAGGATGTACATGTTTTCTTCCCATTGTATTAAATATGGTGGACAATCAATTAATCAATTGTTTTTCTGCATTCACCTTAAATTTGGCAGTTACAGTCTTTAAGCAAGATCAGACAAGGCTGCTTAAGAAATCTGTTGGCAGTTGTTTATGCTCCATCTTGTGCACATATTAGATTACTGTTGCTCCTTCTAGGAAGATTGAATTACTCATGCTTTTTTTCCCTTAAGCATATCGAAACAATCATACCAGAATTATTCTTTGTGGTTTAGTGAGCATGATACATCAGTGGGTTGTAATATAACTAATTTCTAACTCTTTTGATATGTATGAGCAAATGTTGGTAGTTTTTGTGAATTGGAATTGACATGATGCGTAGAGAATAAAGACGTTTTCTATAACCTAGCTGCAATGAAAATGTTTAAGCTGGTGATAATAGTGTATTATGAGTTTATTCATGCATATGTTTATAATTCAGCTCCACAGATGCCATTGATACTGAGCAGTTGTCTGAATTCTGGAATCGTGATGATGCAGCAAGTGGCTCTGAAGAGGATATATCCGATTCTGATGGTTAGTGATTTTTAATAAATATCATCATTCATTTAGGGTTTTAAGGTTCCTCCTGCATAAGTGCTAAGAAAAAGAAGGCAATACAAAACTTATTTATTATTTGACTTTTCTCTTAAATTTCCAGATGGATTTGAGGTTGCTAAGAGCATATCCAGATCCAAATTTTCGAAAAAATCAGGGATAAGTGAGAAGATTGAGTTATTGCAGCGTGCAGAAGAGAACTATTATCAGAAGAAAGCCCCTGATAAACAGGTTTGTTCTTTCTATATTGTGTCAAGTCATATGGACAATATGGCTTAGAGATTACCTGACTTGGAACTCCTCCTCCCTGAACAACATCTTCAATCTGTAAAGGCCAATAAACCGGACAAAAATGCCATATCTGAAATGCTGAGAGAATCAAGCAAGCAAAGATTAGTAGGTGCCCTGAAGCAGGCCCATCAGCGGCTTGGTGGCTTGAAGTATGTGTACCTCTTCACTTGCATATGAGATTTTCCGTAAGGGTCTAAAACACAATGTAGCAAATAAAACATGAGAGATCCTCATACTTGAATTCTCATTTGCAGGGTTGATTTTGAAGCATCATCTACTTTCCTTGAAAATGAGTGCTTTCAGAAATATGGGAAAAGCGGGAAGTCATTTTATTGTTCACAAGTGGCAAGTACTGTGAGATGTCTATCAACAACAACCTGTGCTGCTGAGATAACAAATAGGGTTGGTGTCATTGCCACTTCTTCGGAGAACATTGCACGTAAGGAAGAACCTCCTTTAGCAGCGTCAACCATGTTTCATCAGAGAGAAGAAACAATTATTGGTGAAGAAAATTGCGGTAAAATTGAGTCAGAGACTTCAGTAAGCGCTCAGCCTCCGCAAAGTGCATCCCCAGGCACTAAGCTGCCACCAATTCCATCATTCTCACAGTTTGTGAACAGCAGAAAGTCGAACGAGACTCAAACAAATGCATCGGAGGAGCATTCACCCAAAATTGAGAAAAATATGAAGAAGAGAATGAGGTTACAGTAGGTCGAGTGTCCAAGACTTGGTGTTACATTCATTTCATTTTGTTTGTTAGTTGACAATTATCAAGAGATGCTTCTGACTTTTTTGGAAGGGCAGACCATTACTTAAAATTTCTGTCCTCTAAATCATTATAACTAGAATGATTAAATCATTATACAAATGTGAACTTAAAATGGGGGAGATGATACTATAACTAGAATGATTAAATCATTCATGTAAACATCGCTATTACACGATGACTGAAAATGTTTTTTTGTTTTTTTTTTCCAAATTCCATATGCATATTTTTCACAACCTCTCCCTCCATTTTTCTTTTTCTCTCTTTACCACTAAACGCTGCTTGAAGCTTTCAGTACTCACCCACAACATATTCTTTTTTACAAATATTCACAAACCTCAACGCTAAGATCACTCCAAAGAAAAAAATAATAATAAAAGAACTATTAGTTAGTAGCATCTATCATAATATCTATGAGATGCACCTCATCGAGTACATGGAGACAGAAGGTGAGTCAACTGAGGGTGCACCGTAGACCCTAGGGTGATCACTCTCCAATCCATAGTCCATCATCGGACGGTACTCCAAATCTTCGTCATGATCATACACAAAATCAGGAATCTCGATCTCCTTCCTCCTCACATGCTCCCATAGATAATCCACCCTGTTCACGTATCTCAATTTCCCGTACAACCTAACACAGCCACACTCACATTAGCACCCCCAATCGCTAAAATGCGCCTAAAGCAGAGATAGAAACATATATATGTAGCGGTTTTGTTTTCGTTATTCGAATTAATATGATTACCCGCCGCTGAAGAGAAGGCGGCCAAAGGTGGCAAGGAAGAGCCGAGCCTGGAGGCCAGGGTGCACAAAGTAAACGGCTTGTAGATTATCCTTGACGTTGAAGGGGATCGCATCGTAGATTGATCGCAGGGCTGAGATTCCGGGAAAGTTCTCACTCCTTTGAACCCCAGTGTGAACGTACAACACTGAAAACGGCTTCTTTCCGAGCCTCGGAAATATATACTCCTCCAGAAAATTGTTCAAAACGTCAACGCTCAAAAACCGAGCTGATCAATCAAGGAAAACCACGTCGAAAGACATAAAAAACCAAAACCCCATATAAATTAAGAGCAGAAAACAAAAAAAGAAAAAAGGGAGGTGGGCGTGGGATTAATTACCGGCGAAGAATTTTCCGATAATGCGAAGAATCCTGTGGCCGCGTTTATCTTTGCCGTGGATCTTGAAAATATGGAGTTTTTGGAGGAGGTGTAGTTGATCAGATTCGGAAATCTGAGCTGACGTCATTACTTGGGTTCTGTAATAATTTTGAAGAAACGTATAAGACAGAAATGCGAGGAAACCGAAATTCTGTTATAAGCAGTTTAATTTCGTAAGGAAAGAGTGAAAATTTATACTATAAATGCAGGGAAGAGTAATACACGCCAAGCCAAGCGTATTTATTTGGATCGGATTTGAGTTTTGAGATCAAATGAATAAAAAAAAATGAAAAGAAAAGAAAAGGATATTCCAAAGCATCTTCCATGATGGAGCAGGATAAGCGTGACTCTGCCTCCCTGACCCCTGATTTTCTCATCATACTGCTGGGTCCCTCTTTGCTGCTTTTTGACGTTTCTATGCTTTTTGTCATAATAAAGGCTGATTAGATTCGTAAACAGGTGAAGAAACTCGATGAAAGAAGAGATTCCCCCTTTACTCTTACACAACACAACACTAGATTGACACAAAATCTAACATTCATGTACGTCAATCAAACAAGGCGACAAGTTAATAAAATAATTTCAGGTAGAGCTCAAAGCTTTCGTAATTTGATTTATAAGCTCGTTATCATATTTTTCGTGCCTTAATGAATGTTATTTTTTTTTTTTTTTTTATGAATGATGAAATTAATTATAATAAAAATAAAAATAAAAATAATAATAATAATTGTTATTATTATTATTAAAAATTATTATAATTATAATTAAAAAATTTAACAAAAATTTTATATTAAATAAATTTAATTAAAATTAATATTTAAATTTAATTAATAATGTGATGAATCCAGTTATATTATATTAAAAATACAATCCAAATGAGATCGTAATAGACACTTAGTCCAACATAATACCTTTCTTTGCTTCCCTGATAAACAATAAACTCGATACTTGAAAAGCTTAGACAGGGCAAAATATCAGTACGACGTACAAGTACCAACAGTTTCACCCCCAATAGATTAGTCTACCTATTCTAGTCATTGAAATTGAACCCGGCTAACCCTGCAACTTCTTCAATTGTACCTCTCCACCAAAAAACCTGGAAAAAGTTACACCGTAGATGCCTTATATGAGAATAGAGACAATTATCGAAGATGCTCGAGACATTATGGTAATTAAGGTAAAATTACGTGACAGTTTGCATTGGTTATGACTTATGATAGATTGGATATAATAGAGAACAGGAAACCACTTAAATTTTTCTTGGAATGAAAAGATACCCCATATTTAGAAAATAAAAGGTCTGAAGACGAGGAGATTTGCAAAAGGGAAAGGCTTCCTCACCTGACCATTTATAACCCGGGTTGGGATTTGGGAATCCTTCTTAGTTTGCATCTGCACATGCCTTTGACCATTTTAGTTCCTGTCTTATATCCGTCAAGAAAGTATTGCACATCATGAATTTAAATTACGATAACCATCATATTTTTAATAACATTATATTTATTATGAATATAATAAATATTTTAGTAGTCATTACGATTATTATGATCATAATTTTTTAAAATTTTTACTTAATTTATTTTAAAATATAATAATTTTAATTATTAATCATAAAAATTCTTATTTTATGATTTTTAAAATAATTTATATTATGTCGTATGTTTTATTTATTTAAGAAAAATATTTATATTTAAAAAATTACTCATATGATAATTAAAAAATAACAAAAATAAATAAACATGTAAAAAATAAATAATTATAATAAATTATATATTTAATTATTTAATTACCGTACTCATCAAATTATTATCAAACTATATTACGCATAAATCAACTAACAAATTATTAGATATTCATAAATTAAACAAGATTATTACTATTTATGATGCAAGAAAATTACTTTTTATGGGCCTATAATAAATCAAACTTGACAACTTTTATGTTGAAGGGTAATTTTCAACATCAATACTCTTAAGTCCACTTTCTCTGTCTCTTAACTAAATTGCACAAAATCACACAATTTCTCATCCCCTCACATTGCATTTAATAAATTATTTCTCCAAACTTTCATCCAAATCCTTATCTCTCATCTTTCTTTTTTTTTCTGATGTGTGCTATCCGCTCGTCTCCCTCAACCTCAAGTCTCACTCTCATCTTTTGTCTCTCATTTTAAGTGTCAACAACTTTTGCCCCCTCCTAGCAGTGCACCATAATCCAGTCAAATCTCAAACACATAAAATTACGATAAATTTAGAAATAAAAAAAAATAATTTGAGTGTTGAATTAATTGCCTATTTTAAATTGCATGTTCTTGATATTGATTAAAGTTAAATTTAAGAGAATTGATATATCTGAAAGTTTAAATTTTTATTTTTTTTTGAATGTATGAATTAATGTTTATTTTTTGACTTACTGTTTTTATTTTAAGTTTTTAATCAGAATAAATAAATAAAAATTTCTTGAATTTTTTAATAAAAAACAGATTTAATGTTACGTCACAATTTATAATCGCGATACGTCATTACAGATAAGATTCAAATTCTCCATCGTTTTTTTTTTAATAATAATAACAAATAATGATATTACAGCAAAATAACAACCGCTAAACGGCCATCCGACCGATATATAAATCTTTGATGCACATAGTCCAACAACTTGGATGACTCACGTCTAAAATTCTGCATCAAAAAGAGAAAGTTAAGGATCCAAGATGATGAAGGTCATACTTACAAAAGATTCAAACGCACGGGTGTTTTCTATAAAATAAAGGGACACAAATGATCAGTTCAAAAAGCAAGTGAATATATATATATATATATATATTTATACATATATATAAGCATCGTTGAAAGACCAATATTAGGCTGCAGTCAGCTATGCACACAGATTCTGGATGCCACAAAACGCAACTTTATTTCCACTGGGATTGATGAAGCCAGGAGAAGAGGTTATACATAAATACAGATCTAAATACTCTACAGAAGTTCAGCTATTGACTAACTGAAAAAAAAATTTGCGTTGAAAAATAAACATTATGGAATTGGACAGGGATTTCAAAGATACAAAATGACTTCACATTGCTTCATACACTCAAGGAGAGACAACCTTCTTTTTTTAAGTCACAACACAACCATATATTACTCAAAACTGATATTCATTACATAAGCAAATCCAATGGTCTTTTTTTTTATTTCTTTTTTTGGTCAAATCCTCATTGTACTCTTAGAAATAACAAAAAAATCAGTGAATGTATCTTGAAATTTTCATTATTTCTTTACAATTAATTGCAACAATCAACTCAAGGCTCAACAAACAACAATCACTTGCATCAAAACTTTATAAAGTATATCCTACTTTCGATGGCGAATTCGACAGCACTACAGCAGTACCTTACAGTTACATTACAACAGCTAAGAGAGAACTAAAAGCAAGAAAAAGGCTCGTTTTGTTCTAAACAGTGAGAACACCAAAAAGCCCCATGCATCTTAGCTCCTATAGAGTGTGGAAGCCTTCAAGAAAAAGAGCAAAAGGACTTGATGTAGTTGTTACCTCAGTTGTAAAACATGGAATAATTAGCCAGGCTGTCGAGGCAAGATAAAACGGAGAAATAAGTATATTGGCCACTTAAAAAGTAGAAGGCAGCCAAAAATAGATATATACCCAAATAACAAAAAGAGATGCCATAAGCCATAAGCCATACGCATTCAATCACCTTGAAGGAACAGATGGTTAAGTGCTATATGAGGCACTTAATGTGGCAATCACAAAGGTTGCATGCATACCTTAAACCCACCACTTTCTGTATCTCCTGCAATCCAACATCCTATAATGGAACAGCAGAAAATACCTACTTATAATCATAAATCCTGCAAAAGCTATATTATGTAACCAATAAACACTGGCAATTTAGAAAAGAATAGATAAAGCAGACCTTTATGCAGATGAAAAATAAACTAAATTACAACAGAGCTGACATTAAACAGTACAAGCAAGACGTTCCTGTGAATTTTGTACCCAGTATGTACAAAAAATAAGCACTAGCAGCAACCATGGAGGCAGTGGTCCCAAGCAATTGCAAAAGACCATATGTTTCACTGATCCCAAAAGGTAAGCTCTTTGCACTCAACTGCCATCTGAGTGCCGTAAGAATTCCATAAGCAACCAATCCAACTAATGGAAGAGGAATACCTGACCTGACATGCAAAAGCACGATCATTGTTAATCTCTTTCTAACATGGTACTTCTAACGCCATTTGTGTGGTTTTCCCAGTCAAATTGAATTCTTAATCTTACCATAACATGATGATATTACCAGTAATAAAAAAATGGCAAAGCTTGTAAACAACACAATTGAAATTTAAGGCACCCCTTTGATTGTTGCTTTCGCTACTCACATTTTGTTTCCAGAGCAAAAGGCAAATAAATGAATTTCATAAGAATATATCAATAAAGATTCCTAATTTTCCATATTCCTTAACAAAAAAAGACAAAGTCGACAAATTTATATACAGATAAATGATAAATTTTCAAAAACAATGAAATTCCAAAAATGAAGGCGTAATCACTGTTCCGGACATATCCGCAACTGCCACCACCAAGAAGGCAAAAGGTATCGGAATCGGAGAGCTTGAGGTAAGTCAAGTAGGCAGTTTCAACAAGCCCGATGGCACCAAGCCCCGCACGCCAATTGTACGTGGAATTGCTCGAAGCAATGACATAGAAGAAGAGGGGCCGACGTCCTTTCAAACTTCTGACTCGGTGTCTAAACTCGGCCCAGAAGATGAATACTTAAAGGAGGCATAAGCATAAGTAGTCTCCAAACTGGGTTGCCCATTTCTGAGAATCAGCCAGACTCGGGTCACTAATTGCTCAAAGCTAAATGCCGACCCAGAACCAGAATAGAATTATAGAAAATGCGGGGTGGGGGAGAAAATTTATTTGCCACGCAAATGGTCCTTCAAATAAGCCCATAGCCAATCACTGTGTTGGTTGGATTTGGTCATTGTGAAGAGATGAGGCAATTGATTTACCCAAAAATATCCACCATGATAACAACTAAACTTTGGCCCAACTCTATAGCACAAGTCTAGTTGGATTTTTTTTAACCGGCCGTATTAGTTATTTAAGTTGGATTTTAAAAAATTTGACTTAAAAAATAATGTAAATTTTGTGATAAATCATGTATAAATATATAATTTTTATGATTATTTTTAAAATTCATAAATTTGTGGTGAATTTAAAATACTTAT